TGGTGGGGCAAGATTTTAAAAAAAAAGGTTGAATCCCTCTTCTAGAGTATTGTGGATGAGGTGAATCGATGGATGTGCCTCAATAGGTTAGGGTACAAGAGCTGTCATACTGATGTCCACAAAGAGTCCAATTTCATACCTTGTAAGAGGTAGAAATCGAACTCTCACATTACGGCTGTCAGCTCAGTTGCGACTACCTCACTCCCGTCCTTTGCACCACTGGGTTATGTCTCGAGGGGCGATGGTGGCGCCAAATTTGTTTGAGCGGGAGTTGGATTTGGTTTTAGTTTTGGTTGTGGTTGGTAGGGACCGGTGGAAAATGGGGAAAAGACAAAAGAATTTTTTATTGTTTCTTATTTAATTATTTCAACTATTTTAAGTTAAATTGGAATAGACAATTTTACCCTCACCTAATTGGTCAAAAAAATGTCATATTTATTTTTTGGCGGTCAACTAACAATCGAACTAACTATTTCCATGCATTTAGACTATAGGTACTACTTTTTGAAAGGTTTAATACCATGGGTGCTATAAAGTAAAGGTTTGGGAAGTCTTTTTAAAAGTGAAAAGTTTAGTACTGCAGCTACAAAATTTCCTAAATTTTAGGGTAAATTGCATATGTTGTCCCTATTCTTTAACCCTCTTTTTTATTATTATTATTATTATTATTATTTGAAGGGTAAAATTATCTTTACGGTAAATTTATACCGAAATTTACTAGGGATGGGGGCTGCTAATATATGAAAATGGGGGAATAAGTGTACCATAGATTAAAGGATGAGGATATCTTTTAGTTTTTTGTCTTATAATTTTAGGGTTTTTGACACTTTTCATCTTCAATCTTTCTTATATGTTACTAATTTACCCTCAACGTTTTTTGGCACCAAAAATCCTCAACCTTTTTAAAATTAAAAAGTTTCGTCCTTCCTCCATTTTAACCACATAAAATGACGAGTTGTCTCTTCATTAAATAAATAAAAAGCAACTAAATAAAAGGAAATTTGCAGCAAGAATCCTATTTTTTTTTTCAAAATTAACAAATAATTATTCTTTTCCAACCGCCCATATTCTCCAACCCAATCCACCCCCACACAAACCACCAGCTAGCTAGCTAGCAGCCGCCGCCACCACCACCACTGCCCCCATTGCATAACCCAGTTGTTAGCTCCTCGAATCTCTATTTTGACACATTCAAATGTAGGTGAAGTGAGATTTTTGCTATATTTGATCAGATCATATTACATTTTGTAAGAGTTGAGTATATTTGATCATATCATATTCTTGGGAATGAATGACCCCTTTTATAGATGGGGCACCTTCTCTAAAATCGCCTCAATCATTTTGAATTACAATACTTTATATTCGAATACGCGATTCTCAGGCAGCGAGAGTGCTCTAATTGGTGGATGAGGGGTGATGCCTAGGGTGCAATGATATCACGACTGATCTTCGACCCTAGACTATCTTATCAAAGGCTATAATTGGCCTAAGAGGATGGTGGTGATACAAGTGGAGAGACAAGCCGCCTTCGATGCTATCATTAGTTTTCCCGTTCTCTTGCTCCAATGTTATCTCTCATTTTTGTCCAAAGTGCATTAAGATTGTGCGATTTTTATATTCTATTCACGAGGGTGGAACGGTTGCTTCCGCCCCTCATAACAACAAGGTGGATGCCACCTTTACATGTCTTGCACCACGTGTCCTCCGAGGTGTATCGCTCCTCTTTTAGGAAATAAGAACTTTATCCAAACATAAGAAAATATATGTAGACCCCTACATTGGAAGAGCTAGTTCTATTGTACTATAAGGTAAGTATAAATTATTAGTTATTTTCAAAGCTAATATTAAAACATGTACTATAGTAGATACACATCCATGTGCCACAAATATTGGTACGTACCAAAACTTCGATGTATAACCAACCTATATATAGACCACGGCTCATTAATGTGCACTTTTGAAATAAATTCAATGGATTTACAAATAACTTATCAAATTCAAATTTATAATAAATCTAATTTTAACTATCAGACCATTGTTAAAATCGAAAAATCATAATAATATTACTTTTCCGATAAACTTTTTATATTTAAAACTAACAATGATAAGAATTTTAAAGAGTCAGAAAATGTTGATGGCTTTATATCAAATTGAAAAAAATTAAAGTATTTATATTATAATATATTTTCAAGTTTAATAATATTCAAATGTAAATTTACCAATTTGTTTAATTATTGACCACAATTTAATGTGTCATTTAAGAGTCTAACTTCGTCCTGGTTCATTATCATTCAATATCTGCCTTGCTCTCCAATCTTTATTAAAATTTGTTAATCATTTATATCGATGAGTGTGGGGCGAGTGAGCCTGGTGGGTGTTAACGGGGACTTTATTTGCAATATTTTTATTTTACTGTTTTATTTTATGTTTATTTATTTAAAAATAATGGAAAATTCGTCATTTAATTGTCAAAATGGATAGAAAAACGACTTTTGCTACATAATTGAAAGGTTGCAAATGTGTTTTATTGGAAAAAAAGAAAAAGGTTGAAGATAAATTTGTTGTATTTTGCAAAAATTAAAGACAAAAAATACAAATTTTCCAATGTAAAAAGAACCATTTTCAAATGTGATAATCTTGATCTCATGCATAAGACGTGTGGCATATAAAGAGACATGTTTGATGAATCTTGCTACATGTATATCAAGATTTATGTAATAGATTACATAATGTTACATGAAAATCTATCATTTGCTAGTTTAAAATAAAATTAATTTTTTCATTCAATATTTTCCCTCTACATCATATTATATAATTCATTATATACATTTTTATGTACAAATAGGAAAATTCATGTTTGATATAAGAATTATGCTCGATGTACATTCTATGGGTTGCATCATAGTTTACATTGTGTACAAATTCAAAAAGTGTTGGACCGGAAAGTGTGTGCTTTTAAAAATTGTCCAATCATTTGTCGATATGTAGCACAATATCAAAAATGGTGTAAAAGAATATGAACATATAGCATGATTGTTGACAAAAAGTTAAAAATACAAACAACAAGTGCAATGCTATTAAACAACCGAAGTTGTAGTTATTTCATAAATAGCACTATCATAAATGAGTTTTGCTACTTGTACACTGAAATTTACTTATAATAAAAAAATTGTGATCACTTGCAAGGGGTGTCAACCTAGCGTACAAAGTAGCAAAACACATCATATATTCTATAGACATAACCCCCTCAATGTTTAATGATCTTTTATTCTCGAAGCATTCACGTACCCAAAAAAAAAAAAAAGAATAATTAAACAAAATGAACCCTGATATTCGTACCGGGGGGGTGTACCACCCCCCGGTACAAGGAGGAAAACTGTAAGACTTTATATGTAATAGCTTCTCAATGACTAAATTTTTAGGCTAAACTTTGCCCAATTACACAACCTGTTAGCTACATTTAGTATTGGAATTGAATTTGATTATAATGATGGGGTGTTAAAGTTGATGTGGATTATGAACATGTTATTACAAAATTTGATGATATTTTCAAGATCTCAAATAAGAAAATCAAAGTTGATGTATTTTATACAATTAAGGTCGATATAGAAGACCAATCAATTTGGTGTTAATTTAAAGGACTGCACTATTCGTACCGGGGGGGTGTACAACCCCCCTATCGGTACCCTCACATGAGTGGGGGCCCCGGTACGAATAGCAGAAAAACCCAAACAAAATTCATGGAATATCCTAAACAGGGTGTAACTTACTTTTAAGTGGTTTTATGCATTTTTTTTAATTTGAGTAAAATTTAAATAGTAGATTCAGATTCAATAAAATGTGAACCAAAAAAAGAATTAATAAATTGTTAGTATGTAAATATATGAATAAAAAATATGTTTGATTAACTTATTTGTCTAATATCGGTAGAGATGGCAACGGGACAGGTGCCCCGCCCCACCACGTCCCTCCTCGTGCCCCGCCCCGCCCTGCCTCGCCTCGTCTTGCCTTAGACAAGGCGAGGCGGGTTCGGGGCGCGGGCTTACCCCGTTTGCCTGTTTATTTATTTATTTTTTTCAAAAACTTCCAATTAACTATTTTTTATTTTTAATTTGTAATTAATTATTTTTTTATTCTTTATGGGGCGGGTTCGGGGCGCTTCGAGGTAGCGCCTCCTCCCCGCTCCGTCCCACCCCAATGGGGCAAGTTTTTTTGCCATCACTAAATATCAGTTCACTATATCTCGAACTTTACACATAAAGATTAAAAGAAACACAATAGGAATACTAAAAGAAATTGACAAAAAAATTGCATAAAAGTACAAAAATGTTTGAATTTAGTGCCAATGTAATTGAGATTGATTTGATTTTCCATTTTTTTTTCCCCTTCATTTTCTTTAGTTTCTTCTTTCACAAAGATCGATTTGAGGAAAAAGGAAATTGTTATTTATAACTGGAGTTAAAAAAGTATTTTAATGGCCACTGAACTTAATATCATTTTATCCACTCATCACTCAAATCGACACTGTTTGTTGAACCCAATAGATTTTCCTATTTGAATGATGAATGAGTAATACGATACATAGTTTAGTGACTATTGTGATATATTTTTAAATTCAGTTATGAAGTAAATATATTTTTAAATTTAGTTATTAAATAGTAACCCATGACAAAATCGAAAAACCACTCAAAGAATTATCTCCGAATTTTTAAATTTAGTTATTAAATAGTAACCCGTGACAAAATCGAAAAACCACTCAAATAATTATCTCCGAAAGTGTAGAGAATTTTTTAAGAGCGATCCTTCCACTTCCCGTTTCTCTGTCTCCTTTTTTCGCTCTCACTGATTTCCCGTTTACAAAGCAAAGCAGCAAACTTCACTTTCTTCTTTTACACACAAGTCACAATAGCTCTCGCATTTGCTTATTTGTCTCAGCGTGTGAAATGCAATTAATGCAGTTGTAATGTGATAAGGGGGTGAGGTGCAAACTAGGATTTCTGATGGTTATGAATTCCACTGCTGCAGACCCAACAGCGCCACCTCCGCCGCCGCCGCAGCCACCTCGCTCCTCCTTCAGCTGTGACCGCCACCCGGATGATATATTCAACGGCTTTTGTCCCTCTTGCCTCTGCGAGCGCCTTACTGTCCTAGACAAATCCCCCAACAATACTCCTTCTTCCTCCCGCCGCCCCTCATCCGCCTCTGCCTCCGCCACTGCTGCACTCAAGTCCCTGTTTACCTCTTCCTCCTTCAAACCCACCATCAGAACTAACATCTTCCTCCCTCCGCCACCCCAGAAGCCCGCCAAGCCTAACTCATTTTTACCCGAACTCAGACGCACAAAGTCATTTTCCGCCTCCAAAACCGATGGATTAAGCCTATCCAATGGAGCTTTTGAGCCCCAGAGAAAATCTTGCGACGTCAGGGCACGGAATTCACTCTGGTCGCTTTTCACTCTTGACAACGAGAAAAAAACCGCTAGTAAACCGTCTCCATCCTCTCAAAACCTACAATACTGTAATAATATCAAACAATACGAATCTTTTGTAGCCAATAAACCCGTTTTCGAGAAAACCGAAAGTAAGGAGGCTTTTAAACACCCTGAAAATGAAGATGAAGCTCCTCATGTTGCTGATGGTCCTGCAGACGAAATTACACCAGCTCAAGATAGCCAATTGCAGAATCTTGGAATTGGCATCGAAAGAGAGGCGAATAATGCTGATCTTATAGCAGAAGAAGCGGTGAATATGAATAATCTGAAGCCAATGAAGGATCATATAGTTCTTGACAAGCAGGCTAAAAAGAGTCCAGGAGGGGGGTTCTGGGCTGCATCCTCGGTTTTTAGCAAGAAATGGCACAAGTGGAGGCGGAAGCTGAAGATGAAGAAGCAGAATAATGGAGAGAAACTGGCTACATTGCCCGTGGAGAAACGGATTTTGAGGAAGTACAGAGATACCCAATCCGAGATAGCGGATTATGGGTTTGGGAGGAGGTCTTGTGACACTGACCCTAGGTGTTCGCTGGATGCTGGGAGGATTAGCTTTGATGATTCAAGATATTCTTTTGATGAGCCTCGGGCTTCCTTTGATGGACATTCGATAGGGAGAAGCTTTCCGAGGATGCCTTCAGTGGTTTCTGTGCTGGAGGATGCTCCAGAAGTGCGTGTATTGTGGTCTGATACGCAGATTCCAGTCAAGGGACAGGTGATGATGACTACAAATTGCGTTAGTGAGTTCGAGGGTGTGCCTGGAGGGTCAGTGCAGACTCCGGGGTACTATTTAGATCCTTCCACTTCGAGGAGGAAGAGTCTGGATAGGTCTAGTTCTATTCGAAGGACTGCGGCTGCTGTAGTTGCTGAGATGGATGAAATAAAAGCAGTTTCTAATTCCAGGGTTTCACCTGCTAATGCAGATTATTGTCATGGGACTAAGGTGTTGGTGGGGGAAAGAGACTTGAGAGATTCGAATTCAAATTCTTTGAGGGACGATTGCTCTGAGACTTTTGAGTTGTGTAGTGCGTTTATGGAAAATGGCCCAGCAATGGGGAATAGGGAGAGAAAGGAATTGAAAAAGTCTAGGAGGTGGAGTTGGAGAATATGGGGTTTTATACACCGGCGTAGTGGTAGGAATGAGGATGAGGATGATGATGAGGAGAGGTATAATGGAGTAAACAGAGTGGATAGGTTATTTTCCGAGTCATGGCATGAGTTGAGGAGAGAGGGGAATGATGATGCGGGAGGGGAATCAACTAAAAAGGTGTTGCGGAGCAATAGTAGCTTGAGCTGGCGAAATTCCAATCGCAATGGGAATTCATTTGGAAGTGTGACGAAATCTGGTGTGGAAATGAATGGGCATGGGAAGAAGAGGAGGGACGAGTTCATGCAGGAGAGGAATTGGAGTGCAAGATATTCGCCTAACCATATAGCTAATGGACTCTTGCGCTTCTACTTAACGCCTTTGAGGAGCAGCCGGAGAGGAGGACCAGGGAAAATAAAGTCTTACGGCTCGCACTCTATAGCAAGAAGTGTCATGAGGCCGTACTGAGATCCAAGGTCCTCTAGTTTCTCCTCACTTATGGTTAATTTGCTCCATTGATCACGTATCCACATATGCCTTTTTGAATCTTGATGTTTGGTCGTATTATCTTTGCAGTTGACCATGATTTCTGCATATTAGGTGGTGGTATAGCTTTGTATTTAGATCAGGATGCTACTTGTAGTATCTTAATAATGAAAATATCCCATGTTTCTTTGTCTCTAATCTGCATTTTGAAATTCACTTTATTATATCTTGCCTCATTATTTTTGTTCCCAATATGGAGTTCAGTTCTGGCGTTCACAAATTCCTGCCTATGATCAGTTGATTCATTCTATTTTCGTTCCACGACCTTTTTCTATTGATGAACTTTTTCGTGAGGCTTTTTTTCACAAGAATGATTACCTTTTAGTGCGTGATAAAGTTTTGATATTATTCTTAAGAATAGACACTGTCACATAGTTTACGTTAGTTGACAAAATTACATCGCTGGGAAACAGTTAAATCAAAATGCTTGTCTTGGGCTAATCAATTTCAAGAAGTCCATAGCAAAGATGTCATGACAGGTATAGTCGAGAAACTAATTTATCTCATTAGGAGCCATTTTCTGCAACGTCTTAGTTTATTCATCTTTGTTCCAATTTCAAGAAGTCCGACGCTTTTCTTTTTCTTTTCAGATTAAAAACAAAATAATGTGACTCCGGCATGCTCAAGGGCTTGATTGTTCATCAAGTGGATGAATAAGAATTGGTTTTTTTTTCTGTTTCTTTTTAAAGTCATCACTAACTTTTTGTCCATCTACTTCTCTTTCATTTTCCCCTTTTGTGCATGCTTTAAACATTTGTGCCTTTCTTGATTGAAGTGCAGAGATAAATTTTCGAATCTGAAAGTGAGTATTTTCAAATGGAAAGGGACAGCCAGGTCCCAGTTAGAGTTCAAATTCCTTTAGACAGAAGTCCTATAAAACAACCTGAGTTTCACCCTTTTTTCAAAGCAATTTGCTGGTAGCCCGGTTGAATACTAAGGTCAGTTTGGATTTGCAGGACTGAAATTCCGGAATCTCTACAGAAGTGATATGATTCCCCTGTCGTGTCGAGCAGGAAAAATGCCACTTACGGAGAACTTGATGGAGTGAACAAGACTCGTCTATGAACGGGATATATTGCTGCTGATTTCATTAACGTTTTAACTGGTTTATTTGTCACACAAAAGATTCAAGTTTTGGTAAAACTTCAAATAGCTAATTGCTCATAGCGAATCCATAGAATAGAGCTGTGCTAATGCTTCCATAGCTGAAACCACGTACGAATAGTACAAGTATAATGAAAGGCTATTGAGTGTGTACTAAATCAGAATATTTGCAGTAGCAGTAGATCTCATTTCTTGCCAGATATCTTTATACCTGTCCTTTTTTTTTTTTTTCAAAAAAAGTTGTAATTTATTAATGAGAAATGATAATAATGGATAGAAATTGGATTGAAGATCTTATCGTTTTAACCTTTTATCTTGGTGATTAGTGAAGTTACTAGTTCTGGATGGGTAAGAATATCTCCATTAGTGTTTTAAAAAGAGTAAAGCATGACTAAATGTAAATTTTTAATCATTCTAAAAATTATTTAATAATTAGAATAATATATATAAAATATCTAAAATTATAAAATACTATGTGCCTGTCTGGTCTAGATTCTTCATGGATTAAAATTGAGATAATAACCGTTAGTAGGCCCCACATGAGATATGGACATTCAACAATTGCGGCTGAGTGCTTAAAAAAGGGTCATAAAAATGTTTAGAATCAGGCCGATAATCTCCACCGGGCAAGCACTATATTTGCTTAATAATTTTTTTAATTAGTCAATTATACAATTTTCAAGTTTTTAGAATCCAAAACTTAAACTATTTTTTTATAATTTCAACTAAATAAGTCTATGCTAATAGATTTATAGGGACTTTGTATTTTTGACTTTTGTGCATATAAAGTCATTTAAGACCCGTTTGAACTCCATGTTTTGTGGAGAATGCATTTTGAAATAGTATGTTGATGGGAATGTAAGGTTAAAAATGAAGGAAAAGTTTTTGAGTTGCATGTAATATTATTTTATTGAAAAGTGTGTGGTTGAAAATAAGAAAAAAAATATTTTGAAAAATGGAGATTAAACAAGGACTTAAAAAGTTGAAACTAAAGTTAATGAAAAGACATTTAAAATAAAGAAAAAAAAATAAAAATAAAAATTAATAAAGTGCGTCTAGTCGTGCCTAGGAAAGCTTAGTCGTGCATTAATCGGTCAAGGCACTACGTTTCACCTACGCCTTGCTTCTAGGCGATGATTTTAGAGCACTAAACACTATTAAGAATGGATTACATGTAAATATCTCAAGAGTGCACAAATTCAAAATCCTAACCAGTAACTGGTAATAAAACTAGATTGGCCCTCTAAAGAAAGAAAGTTCCCATTTACAACTTGATGAAACGAAGAAAGAGAAGAAGAAAAAATTAAAGGGCAAAATTAGGATTCCTTTCTTCATTTTATTTTGAAATCCAAGGAGTAATGTGAACTGTGTTCATTTAGTCTGTGGTAAGCTAGGATCAAGATAAACTCGACATTAAAGTCAAAAGGTGGCAAGAAAATTACGCAACCCAGCCCAGCCTAGCCCAGCCCAGCCCAACAAAAGGAAAGATAAACAAATTCGAGGATCGCAACCCAATCGAGGCTAAGATGCTTGAAGAAATGCTTGAGAGATATATTAGGTCTGATGTGATTTCTTGTAACTAATTTGGTTTATGGGTCTTAAGAATATGGGTTTCTTTAGGTACTAGTGAAGTTTTAACGTTCAAAAGATAAAAATTAAATTTTTAGTAAATTTTGATAAAAATTGATAGAGCTTGTGGTTGAAAAGTTGTGGATCACGTAAAAATTGTGATTAAAATTAATTGTTGATTTGAATTTAAATTTAATTGGTCATTTAATCAAACCAAACAGGGACGTAATCATAGACGGATCCAACACCGGCGAGCACCGACAACCATGCGTGCTAGATCGGAATAAATTTTTTTTTTGGTGACAATTGATATATTTATTCGATAATATATTTTGTAATTTTTTAATTTTCAAATATTTCTTGTAGCACAATTGGTTAGAGACTCCATTTCTGTACCGGATAATGGGAAGTTTGACCATTATGACATTTGGTAAATTTTTAAGATGTGTAATAGAATTATATATGTTCAGTTTTAATACAATTTGAAATATTTGAATCCGTGCTCCCCTTTTGAATCATGCAAACTTAACCATTATGACATTTGATGAATGTTAACATTAAATATAATATAATTATATTTGTTTAGATTTAGCAAAGTAATAGGTATATTTAGTTTTTATTTCGGCTTACGGTCAACGATCGCTCTTGCTCACTCAAATCCTTGATCCACCACCGGATGTAATATTTTTTTATAGAAATCATTTGGCCATGTTTAAAAAATGCTGACAATTCTGTTACAAGCTGATTTTGCTAGTATTTCCTGCAAATGTATTTTATTTGCAGGTTTGATAGAGAGGCCCATAATAGCCGGATGTATTGAAGTACATCCCCCAACTTCATTGTTCAAGAAAAAGGCCTTTTTTTTTTCCTGCAGAGGTTCATTTCTAAGCATCAGATAAGAAAACAAACGGCATTGGCGGTTGCAACACCAAAAGGTAACTTCGCCAGTCATACGGTGAAGAGATTGCTGCATCAGTTATATCAATAACTACCAATCCAAGGTAAATTTTACTTTTTGTTACTGAACCACCATTTTTGCAGGTTTTCTCCACCTCTCCCTTCGTTTTCACCTTTCCGATTGGTGTTTTAGTTGGGTGTAAAAAAAGTCTTATCTTATAAGTATATGTATGTTTGGATGTCATCTGCTTATAAGTACGTTAAGTACATATTTTAAAGTGACTTTTCTTATTTATTTTATATTATAAGCTTTTGACAACTATAGAAATGTCCGTAAGGTGTGTGATAAAAAATATAAAACAATAAGCCAACGTTTTATTTTGTTTGTGAAATATTCCATTGAAAAAATCAAAACTATACCTAGGCTGTAATTTTGTTTGTGAGATTACAAGTCATTGATTTAGGTTTCGACTGAACAGCATGACCAACAGATTTAGGTTTAACTCACGTTCACATATAATGCTGTTGCACATTAGAACAAATCGTTAAACGACGTGACCTTCTCTGAAGATGAGGAAGTTGACCGCGAGCACTCCGATGATCAAATCAATCAGTTGTAAATGTACACTTGGATGAGATGAAGGTATGGAAATGCCTTGTGAAATAAAGATTCATCACTTCGAGAATAGGTTATAACAGATCGTGGCACCTCACATTAGACATAGATGTTCAATCTTACATATCGTTTCGGCTAAAGTGATGGCATCACTTTGACTCCTTTATTTGATGATCTACCAAGTAAGCAAGTAATATGGAGTGTGGACTAAATGTGGCATTTCACCTTTTCCTAATTAGCTGCCACGTGGCCAGAAATAGGAGCCTGGTAGGATGAGGCGTAACATAAGTTACCATTTTGCCTGATTAAGTTACCATTTTTAGATTGGATGACGCGTAACATAAGTTACCATTTTGCCTGATTAAGTTACCTTTTTAAGTTACAACACATTAGAGTGGATTTTGGGCTTATAAGCTAGTTTGACTACTTACAAGTTACGCCAATACATGCTCTTGCCTACTTTAATTTCTATGCATTTGCATTTAAGATGTGATTTGATTCTTCAAAATCGTTAATTGGCTAAGGAGGAAGGTTTGTGGTATTCGGTATTTGGAGGACTACTAGGAAAAAATACAATACATGTTGTCTATAATCTCGTGTAGGGTTTAGCACATATGTCGCGAGGGTAACTTGGTAGCCAATAACTTATCGAAACTGGTTGCGTCTAGTGTTTCACAAATTTGGATGGACTCTATCACAATCTCATCATCAGTTAAAGGAGCTTTGCGTATGTATA